CAATACGGTGCAGTCGTCCTGTCCCCTTTGCAGAAAAGCACCCCCAAAGCATGATGTTTCCATCCCCATGCTTCACAGTTTGGATGGTGTTCTTGGGATTGTACTCATCCTTCTTCTTCCTCCAAACACAGTGAGTGGAGTTTATACCAAAAAGTTCTATTTTGGTCTCATCTGACCACATGACTTTCTCCCCTGCCTCCTCTGGATCATCCAGATGGTCTTTGGCAAACCTCAAACGGGCCTGGACATGTGCTGGCTTGAACAGAGGGACTTTGCGTGCGCTGCAGGATTTTAGGCCATGACGGTGTAGTGTGTTACTAATGGTAACTGCTGAGACTGCGGTCCCAGCTCTCTTCAGTTCATTGACCAGGTCCTCCTGTGTAGTTTTAAGCTGATCCCTCACCTTTCTCAGGAGGTCATGGGAGCACATAAATGATCCCTGGAGATCACGGCTCTTGGAAAATATGGGATATTAACTGTGTTCTTTGATGATAATGACACAGATGGAACATCAGGAAATGGGAAAAGTCAAGCAAACATTTTCGATGCCAATTCATTTTAGGGCATTGCTCAGTTGTTGCTGATCATTTCCTCTCATTTCTCTTAAAAAGCAGCTCATGTCTGCCTGGTGCAGTGTTCACACCCCTCGGGAGTCAGCCACGTTAACACAGTTTTAATCTTAAAGCCAGGAGACATTTTCAAGGAAAGAAAAGCGTCATGAACATTATTCAATTAAAATAATTTAAACTTTGCAGTGATTCAATTTTTCCAAAGAAACACTCTTTTAGTAGACTAACGCAACCAATGTAGAGCTGCAGTGAGGAGTCAAATAACTGATTAGTTGGTTGATATAAAAATAATCAAGAAAGTTTTGTTAATTAGCCAACTGGTTTGAGTCCTGTTTTTTTTTTTAATGATCTGTGAATCTTCTTAATCTTTTATGATTATAAATTAAATATCTGTTTTAGATTGATCAGGCCATTTTAAAGGCATTACAAATGGCAGGGACCAAATAAATAGCATGTTACAGGGTTTAAGTATTGCACAGAATAGGCTGCTACATACAGTATAGTCATACAAAACTAGAATTTGATTGAATATGCCCCCCTTGTCCTGTCCAGGGTGTACCCCGCCTCTCGCCTGATGTCGGCTGGGATTGGCTCCGGCTCCAGCCCCCCCGCGACCCATCTCGGGTCTAAGCCGTCTGGATAACGGATGGATGGATGAATATGCCCCTTTACATTCGAATCATTCTCCATGATGTTGATTTGTTACGCTGATCAACCGGGAGGTGGCGCTGCGCCTCCTGATGCCGATTTTGAATCACTGTCAACATCGTGAATGCGTTTCCTGCCAAAATGCTCTCACCTGAACGTGCGTGTTGTCTGTACTGGTTCTAAATCGTGGAACTGTGGTTTTACGCATCTTCCTTGTCTGACCAGTATACTGCAACCTACACCAGGTAAGAGCGTTTGACAACTTATCATCAGTCTTTAATATCTTTAGCCAGCTGAATTCAAGTTTATCACAATTTAAACAGTGAAAATTTAATTCATTACTTAATGGATTGTGCAGAATTGCATTTTCTTTAAGCAGACCCAAACCATCAGTGTTTGTATCTATGGCCACAGTAAAAACACGGGTTGTTACCTGGAATGACGGGGTGTGAAACGCACCACACATTCCTCACAGTTATTATGTCACCGAGTACAGCCAAACAGGGAGCAGCTCATTTCAACACACACACACACACAGGCGGAAAAACAAAGATGCGCCCAGAGCATCATCCACCCACAAACTCAAAGAACAACCAGCCTCAGTGATAAAAGCCAGAGTCCACACCAAGTCTACATGAATGTTCTGACTGGACCAACACAGCTCTGACAAAGGTTTTCATCAGGATCTAACAGGGTTACGTTTACAGTAAGTGCTTATTTATTTAGATCTATGGGTTTTAAGCATCTTTTCAATGCTAAAATATCCAGATTTTTTCAGGGTAGATGTAAAAGAAACATGTTTTGTGTAAATAACTGAATATGTAATTTCATATAAAGTTATATTCAGAAAAAAAACTTACTTGGTTATATTGATCATTGACCTGAAAGTTTGACACCATCACATTGCCGTCTTCATATTTTGATTGAGTGAGGATGAAGACACTGTGCCAGTACTGCCATTTCTGTAAAAATAATACCAACACACATATTTATTTGCTTTGTACTGTGTCAGTTTTGTGTGTATGTTTTGTTTTAGATTCTTGCCAGCTAGAAGGTGTGGCAATTTAATAGAAGATTTGTCAGTTCATTTAAACAGACTGGCATTTTATAGGTCGTTGTCTGTAGTTTATGAAGGGAACTGGATTAAGACTTCATTGTGTGGCTCAAATTAAGCTCTCACTGACCAAGCCTTTTCAGGACCTGTCTCTGTTTCATGAAATCCACATGTCTGGAAGCAGGAGGTTTTATAGTGTACATTGCTATTGCTTATATAGCTGATCTGGAGACTGCTTAAGGTGTAAGAACATGATACTGCAAGGGACTGTGGCTGACTGTACTCACGCTCTCCTCCGTGCCACAGATGAAGCAGCAGGTGTGGGAGAGATCTGACGAAACGTGTGGGCCTGTAGCGTGACACAGAGTGAGAGATGAGGACCATACTTTCTGTGTATAGAGGCGCTGATGAAGGGGAGCCCCGCAGCCTCCGCAGTAGGGTGGGCAGGATGAGGAAGCTCCCGTGGCTCAGGCCAACTCACTGTGTGGGTGTGCACATGGACACAGAGCCTGGCGTGTGGCTGAGGAGCTTCCAGCTGTTGGACACTGATGGACAGTGTGAGGTGAGTTGTTATAAACCGCCATTGGGTTTCTAGCATTGCTCAGGAGGAACTGCTCAGTTGTGTGTTTTATTTACTTTATTTTATTTTTTGCAGTTGAGAGAAATATTTTCTGAAATCAAGGCTGTCAAAACGCCACACATGGGAATAATGCAAAGATGTCAAAGCATCAATATTATCTCCTCGAAAAACATTTAGTTTTGACCAAACATTTGGTCAAACAGGCTGTGATACATCATCAGACAGTACCACGGTGTGCCACCTGACACTAGGAAGCTATATAATATGATGTGACATTAAGCATCATCTGGGAGTCTGGTTGTCAAAATTTCAAGATTTAGAGTTTTTATTACATTTGAAAGGCAGCATGACAGTTTCTGTAACTGACTCAAATGCCTGAGCTTATGTGACTATTAGAAATTAATTATGATAATCATTATAATCCTATCAAAATTGATTAATCTACAGTATTTCTCTATCAACTGAGTCTAAAAGATGTTAGGAAATAGTGAAAAATGTCCATTTTGTAATGAAGCTGAATGATATATATATACTTCAGTGTCCCATCAACCTTTCATTATAGTATTGTTGTTATTTTAACTGATATTTAGATTTACAATAAAAGTGTTTTAGATTAGTTTTACTGTTAGCTGTAGCTGCTTGTGATGTATATATGTGATGAATCAGTGAGCTATTAGGATTGCTAGCACATGCACACACTGTACCTGTGAAAGAGCAGCTGTCATGTCCAAGTTTTTTTCTGGGAACCTCTGCTGTTGTTCCCGTTCAGCTGAATTTGAGACATCATCAACATCAGCTGCTTTTTAGCAATCCTGACAAGCAACAATAGCAGACGCCAGGAAGTACAGGGCCTCATATTCCTGTAGATG